AGTCTTTCCAAGACAAGAGCAAGCATGATTACTGCTTGACATAAATGGTAGGTCCCCCGAATTCCATGTTCCTCAGTTGTGATGTAAAACCACTATGTAAAAGGATCCATCTTGGTCCAGGGCATCGCCCCCATTGGATGTAGGAGCATTATGCTGATGCCCATGCCACCTGCTATATAATAATGAAATCCTTTGTCTCTGAACCTAAGTCCCACATCTTCTGCCAGTATCCACTAAACAATAGCCTAGCATTTATTTTATAAGTAGGGTAAAATCAAAACTTTGACAATATATGAAGTCTGACAAGGCTGAAAAATAAGATGTTGATGGTAAACTGATGAGGAGTAACAGGGAGGCTAAAAAGAAAGATATGGCAATAACTTATGAAAAATAATACCTAGAAACTATAAAGCTCTTAGGCACTGTTCTTTATGATTAATTTGCAATCTGTTCACATTTTTCTCATTAAATATTTCTTAAATGAATGAACGTATGAAAAAAAAAAAGATTAGACTTAAGAGGTTAAGCAACCTGATTAAATCACGCTCATAAATGGTGAAGGATGATTTATATCAAAGTTTATATGCAGAGTCATAATGTTATACTGTATTCAAAAGAATGTTTAAATGCATATTATATAGTTTGGCCTCACCAATGTAGATGATAGGGAGCCATTTAAGAATTTTAAACTGAGAAGCCATGGGCTCTGAGATAAATTTCAAAAATAACACTTTGAATAAAGTATGGAATATGGATTAGAGATAAGAGTAGCCTAAAGTGATCATGTAAGAGAATATTATCCTAGCTCAACGAGAGATGCCAAATGAAGTTGGAATTAAGAGTTGTTTAGAAAGAACTGCTAGGATTAAAAAAAATTAACTGAATTTTGAGGATGACAGACACGGAAAAAAAATCTAAGATGACACCAACATTTCTAGCTTAGGTTACTGAGAAGGTGTGATAGCATTTAATTAAGCTTGGGAATGGGAAGAAAAAAGGATCCAACGTTGCTGACCGCTACTTTGTGCCAAAAAATATTTTATATTTTTTTCATAAAATCTTTAAGACTAGTATTCTTAAGGTACCAGATATTATTATTCTCATTTATACATGAGAAATATGAGGAGCAGAAAAATTTAATAACTAGTTTCAGTTTATGTAAATGTCAGGATTGGGATGTGAACATTCTCCTCTATCTCTAGAGACTATGTTCATTCCACTGTACTACAATATTTCTCTAAGAAGTAGATATTCACTGAGCATCTCATCTGGATTAAATGTACCTTGTATGCATTTAAAAACAAGTCTTGAGATTTTAAGGAAAAAGCTGAAGGAATAAACTAGTATCACTAGCATATAGAAATAGTTAAAGTCATGGAAATGGATGATCTGAACTAAGAGAAAAATACTAAAGCTAGAATTTGGCATTTATGCAGGCAAATCAAGAGCAATCTAAGAAAAAGTCTGAGGAGGAAGAGTCAAAAAAGCAGAAGCAAATCCAAAAGGGGCTGTTATCCCAAAAGCATTTCCTCTAGTATCCACTAAAATAAATCCAGGTTTTTATACAATGATTGTATTACATCCAGAGACCTAAGAATGCTTTGATTCTGCTTTGATATTTGCCCTTTCTTTATAGAGTGATGTCTACACAGGAACTTATATGCAAGGAATACATAAAAAGAGATAACAAACTACGATTTTATTATTATCTGAATCAGCCCTAATTACTTCCAATGGAGAGTTGTTAAAAGGAGAGTTAGAAAATCAAGGGTGGAGTCCTAAATTGAGATTTACTCATTTCTTCAGATAAAAATTGGGATCAATAAGCAAAGAAAGAAATGGCCAGATCTACGGAAATGGCTCAGGTATAACAGATTCAACAATCTGTAGGCAATAAAGATGTAAAAATAGAGATGTGGCACAGAATGCTGTTAGAAGTGCCCCCTCACACACAAAAATCTTTAGATTCTGAGAACTATTTCAGATTTATTAACCAGAAAATTTGAGGTGACTTAAGACTGAGCAGTAATAAGGAAAAAGTGGAATACATTCAGAAAGATACTTTGTTCCACTAGGTATTGAAATTGCTCTAAAAATATTTCCTACTTAAATATATATGTAAAAATTAGAACTTGGTTAATATGCAGATTTGCAGATTTTAGAGAGTTTTAGTTTAGTAGGAAAGTCTAATTATTTACAATTACAACCTCAGTTATTCATATCTGAGAAAAACCTGTATACCTAATAAATAGTAACCAGATTTCAATTATAGTATCTAAGAAATAAACAACATTTAAAGTACCGACTTTACAAATATCAATATATAAAAATGTCAGAAACTCACACTTCCTCTTAAACTTTCAGGTAAAAATAAATTTATGTATATCTGGTCTGCTAAAAAGATGCTCTAATTCCAGAGAAAAGAGAAACTTTTCTATTTTCCTCTTCTTCCAGTTGTCAGAATTTTCCAGATGTAAGACTGTCTTACTACAATTTCCTCATATCAGACTCCAGCAGAGGAGAATATTACACCTTGCCCTGATACTGATTTTGCCTCAGGATGTAATGTGCAAGTACCTTAATATTAATATCTCTGAATTTAAGCACCATATGCACCTTTTTCAGACTTTTCTGTCCTCTCTTTTGATTCTTCTTCTTTTGGTTCCTGCCAACTCACTTAACTGCCTACTACCTAGGGTTCAAGACCACAAGTCAATCTGAACCCACTGTCTTGTTCTAGTCATTGAATAATCATTTCATGAGAATCTTCTAATTATTAGACAATGTGCCATGGTCCTGAACTTTGAGAAACTCATACTCTGACAGAGCGACATATATATAAAAAAATACTACCTGATAAGTAGTTTACTAGCAACAAGGATAATGTGCTTTAGACTGAGAAGGTTTAGAAGTAACTGAAGTGAGATATCAGAGTAGACATTCGAGTGAATCTTAAAAGTAGAAGGTACTTTTGAGGTACAAAAAGGAGCTCTAGGACAAGACATTTGAGGTGTAAAAGTATAAACTACGTTTGGTATGGAAACAGTCTAGTATGGCCAGTGTATTCAAAGGAAAAGGTATGTTGGGGTTAACAAATGTTGGTGGGAAAACTGGATAGCTGCATGCAAAATAAAAGATGAAATAGGACCTTTATCTTATACCACACATAAAATCAATTCAAAATGGGTTAAGGACTTAAATGTAACATCTGAAGCTATAAAACTCCTAGAAGAAAACATAGGGGGAAAGCTTCTTAATGTTGGTTTTGGCAAGGATTTCCTGGATATGACACCAAAAGCACAGGCGATTAAAGCCAAAACAGACAAGTGGGACTACTTTAAACTAAAAAGCTTCTGTGTGGCAAAAGAAACAATCGATGAAGTAAAAAGGCAATCTACATAATGGGAGAAAATATATGCAAACCATACATCTGATAAGGGGTTAATATCCAAAATATATAAGGAACTACAATTCAATAGCAAAAACAATCAAACAATAAATTCCCCCAAAACCAAAAAATACCAAATAACATGATTAAAAAATGAGCACTGGCTAGAATAGACAGTTCTCTAAAGATGACATACAAACAGCCAAAAGAAATATTAAAAGGTGCTCAACATGACTAATCGTCAGAGAAATACAAAACCACAATGAGATATCACCACGTCTCTTAAGATGGCCATTATAAAACAAAAACCACAGAAAATAACAAGTGCTTGTGAGGATCTGGATAAATTGGAATCTTTAAGCACTACTGGTAATGTAAAATGGTCCAAATGCAATGGAAACCAATATGGATGCTCTTCAAAAAATTAAAAATAGAACTACCTTATGATCCAACAATACCTGATTATATGTGAACTTCCATATATACCATATCTAATCTGCTATATTCTGTAATTTACAGTCAAGCAAACTGCAGACTATTTACAGCATTGCAAATAGAAAACTTAATCTCTAGTTTAATGAAAATGTTCATTAATCAGCAATTACAGAGTTGGAGGGATATAAAAGTTTCACAGGGATTTTAATTAAACAATGAATAAAATTAGCAGTACTATCTCAAGGAGTTGCCATTTGTTATCCCAAGAATATGATTAAAAAGTCATTAAGAACACCAAACTCAAAGTGACTTCTGAAGTATATTTATAATCAGGAGACCATATGGTAATATAATTTCCACATAAGCAAAATTAACTTAGTCTTTTATCACTTTTCCTAAGTGTACGGCACAAAACAGATTTGAAATCAACATTATCAGCTCCTTCCAAAGTGCTCAAAATTGTTTCTACATCCCACAATAAAAAAATATAAAGAGAATCCAAAAATACATAATGAGCCTATATTTCCAAATTCTAACCTACATAAAATCTATTTTCCATAAGTATGAAAGGAAACCTAACAACTTTTAAACTGAGGTTATACTGCTGTACATACAAATAACTATTAAAAAAAATTCCTTAGAAGTGATAGCAACATATGTGTTTTTAATTTTTCTTTAATTTTGAAAAAAGTATTTTGATTTCATGAAAAAGTATGGTAAACAATGTCCTACTAAATTCCATTCAAATCACAGCTCTATCACACAATACTTCTCTAGTACAAACATGCAATGTTGTTAATGAGGTTACACTGAAGTAAACACATTCTCTAGATGCTACTGTACAACTAAAGTGAAATGAATTGTTTTTCATGAGACCCCGGTACTACCAAGAACATAAATATCTACTCCTGTCCAAAACCAAGTATATTTTGTAGTGGATAGCAAAATCATTCTTAGTTGTATCACCTAAAGCAACTGAGATTTAAATATCATTTTAGCTTTCAGACTACATACAGTTTTTAAAAAACACAGAAACCCTAATTTTAACTCGAGAGAAACTTTTAGGATATATTTACAAAATTCTGCATGGACCTAATGGTATCTCTTCGAAGAGACTAGACCATTATTTGAAAACAAAAAATGAGAACATAAGTTTCAGTTTCCATAAGGTTCTCACCTGTATAATGCATCATCGATCTCCACGTACTCTGTTGACATGATGGGCAAATTTGTATTTGTACTAAAAAATAAAACATAATTTTAAAGAGTAAGTATGATTGTTCAATATTCACATCCTGCAATGGAACATTCAATTATACATGGGATCAGATTCACTAGTTACTAAAAGAAGTTTTACAAACCAGATATATATTTTATTATCCATCACTTTACTTGGATTTTAAAAATAGGTCAAAATTAAATCCACTGATTGTCTACTCTTTGTGTACTATAAAATTATAGCCCATGGTTGTTTTACTCTTAGGTGTTGTTTTATCATTGCTACATATATTCTGGTGGATCTATATTTATCTAGGAAGATTTATATCTTCCTAGATAATCTTCAGTTTATGGAATTTACCATATATACCAATAATATCTAAACTTACTACTCCATGTTTGATCTCTCCTCTGACCTCCAGATTTTACACATCTGCCAGCACAGTACCTCTGTACCATCAGTATCACAAATATAGCAAGCTCAAAACAGAATTTAATTCCCCCTGCACGATCTATTCTTTCCCAGACTTTTCCAATTTTGTTTCTGTCACTACCATTTACTTGCTCAGACCAAAAAAATCTAGAAATCCTCTTAATTTATTCCCTCATTTTCTCCATCTGTGAGTCTTGTTAGCTCTTCCTTCAAAAGAGATATAAAATCTGATCACATCTCACTATTTTAATCAGTATAATCTAAGGCCACACCACCATCAGTTTTCATCTTAACTACTTCAAAGGCCCCCTAAGTAGCCTCTTCATTTCTATTATTGCCCTTCCCCTTCAGTTTACTCTCCATATAACAGCCTAAATCTTTTAGAATATAGTCAGACATTACTCTCTGACTTAGAATTACCCTTCGGTTCTATGAATAAAATTCAACTACCTTTCCATGCTTAAAAGGGCCTATGTGTTCTGTCTCTCAATTACCTCTCCAATCTCAACTCCCACCACTTTCCCTCTTGCTCACTATCTTCAGCCACAATGGCCGACTTGCTGTTGCTCAAAAAGCCAAACTTGCTATCACTTTAGTTTTTATACTTGCTATTCCTTCTGCTTGGATTGTTCTTCCTTCAAATCTCTGAATAGATGACTCCTATCACTTAAGCCTCTATTAAAAGTCACTCACAAATATTACATAGACCATTCCTGATCACCCTATCAATGAAATAGCTCCTCTTCTTCTTAGGTCACCACCTAACTCCTTAACCTGCTGTATTTTCTTTAAATCACTTACCATTGTTTACTGTCTGCTTTCCCCTGTAGAATGTATGATCTGTTATTAGCTCAGCACTATATCCCAAATACCTAAAACAGTACCTAGCATCTAATAATGAGTTAACACTGTGCCCACATTGTTTTGAATGCTTTAGATGTACTCAGTCAACCCTTACTACTTCATGAAATACGTGCTATTACCATCTCCACTGAACAAAGGAGGAAAAAAAAAATGAGGCTGACATATGTTAACTTTTAAACAACCTGCCTAAAGAGCGAGCAGGTAAATGGAGAGCCAGAATCTGAACCTAAGCAATTTAGCTCTTGACAGCCACCATACTGCCTTTTGCCTCTTATAGTAGGCACAATGAAATTACTCGAAAAATATCTGTTGAATTTTAAAAATTAAAAAGTTAAATACACTTGAGTGACAAGAAATACCTATAGTGATATATCATTTACTGCAGCCTGTCCCAATTTTTTCACAGCATGGCATACAAAGAAAAATGATAATAGTATAAACACTGAGAAACAGAGATGGTTCCCTGGCAGAGGGAACCAGCCTGACGCATTTGGGCCTGAGCCATCCTGACAGCTAAGATCAATATCATCTGAGTAAAAGTATAATCCATTCCAGGTTCTGAGAAGCTCTAATTACCAATTACAGGATTCTAAAAGCAATATGATAGCATGAAATTCAGTTTTAGAATCCATTTCTAGGCCTGGTATTGATACATAAGCCAAAGGATTTATAAATATAGTTAATAAAAATGTTATCATTTATCTTACCAAACACTGACTAGTACTATCAAATGACATAAGCTTCTAGCTAATTAAATGGATAACTACTGGAAATATTCCTGATTGTAATTACAAAAGCAAATCAGGAGATAGCTGTGTTTAAGAGATCAACTATCTAACAAAACATACACATACACTATAATACCTTTTTGGCATTGTAAGATGAAAATGTGAAAATGAACAAAATCTCGTATTGCAGTTTTCTTATCTCTAGTATACTTTCACTAGCTGTCTTTCTTACATGGAAGGCAAGAGTCTAGTGGGTAAAGCTAAGTAAAAATTAGAAAAGCTACATTCTAATCAGCTCTGTCACTTGATGTGACTAGCATTTTTTTCCAGAAATTTCTGCCTTACTAGAATGTTTCAAAAATTACTTTTGTAATAAAGTCTATATGGTAATCAAAAATGCTTTAAATAAGGGGAGTTTCTGTATGGCATAATATCCCAAGTGACTCTAGCAGTATTGCCAACAGCAGGGTAATACCATGGTGACAAAAGCATCCCTTTAGTCTGAAGCTGGTGAAAAAACTACAGGTTTATGAGTCTCACTTTAGTTCAAAACCATATATCCATCACTTCTATCTTTGGAATACTGTATTCAGGTAGTGGACAGGATATAACAATCCACTTTACTAAGTATGAGATGACTGAAACAGGAACTACACAAACATTCCCCACCCCCACCCCAATTTTGCAGGAATGGAAAAAACGTGGAGAGCCTCAACACCAACTGGGAAATAACAATGGGTAACTTGTGGCTTTTTTTCCTTTTTTTTTACAAAAGTCAACAGAGCTCCTCAGGGTGTCCTGCCTGCCACTGATTCAGTATTACGAAGTTCCCTCTGGTAATAGTTTTCAAAGAAGGATCTCAGTGGAAAATCACGCATAGTGAAATTCTTAGCTTTCATTTTACCGAAATGAGAGTAGAAGGTGTTAAGAGACGAGGTCTGGGAAGCTCACACTAAGCGGCCCCCGGCCAGAACTCTCCGCCAGAGCCCTCCCCTCCCCTTCCCACCTTTCCCGTTCAGTGACTGGGAGGAAGAAGAATGGCAGACCCCAACCGGAACTGAGAAAGCGCCGAAAGGAGTGAGAAGTATACTTTCTCAGTGAAGCCGGGAGCCGCAGAGGTCGGAACCCAGGCCGCCAAACCCGCCTCCCAGGACAGGTTCTGTCCGACCCCGCGGCCTCTCCTGCGCTCCCTGCTCGCCCGAGAGAAGCAGAAAGCCAGTGCCCAGGTCTGCCCGCCACCCCCCGCATCTTCGCGCCCACACTCGTCATCGCACCTGCCGGCTCCCCAGGAAGAGCAGGACGCCTCTTCCCCTCGAGGTGCGACCACCGGCTCGGATCCCTCCATTGCGTCCAGGGAAGCCGCCGCTGGCTACAGGGAGGCAGGGAAGGGGGCGGGATCACGGGGGTCAAGGGGCGGGCAGTGACGTCACCGGAGGGGGCGGGCCTGAGAAGCGCGCAGCCCGGCCGCTCTTTCCCGTCAACCCCAGGGCCATCCTGATTTCCGGTTTGGGTGTGGCCGTGGGGAGGGCTTAGCAGCAGGTGGCAGCAGTGAGCGGCACTGCTTTGACATGGATCCGGCAGACGTTAAGTGGAACCAAAATGGTAAAGTTACGCGTCACCTCTGGCTCTGCAGCCAAGCGCAGAGGATTACAGTGGCCAATAAAATGATGGGGCAGCATAGCAAAATTCTGCATAGCACAATAAGTAACCGAAGGCTAGTAATAGGTAGCTCCAGATTTCCAGTTTGGAATTCCATTTTTAAGACGTTACACGTTTAACAAATAAATTGGGGCATATACTGTATGTCAGGCACTGTCACATGTTTAATAGAATTATATGATTTTTAGAGCTATAAATGATCTGTTATCCAGTTTGCCCCCTTCATTTTATGGATGAGGGAAAGGAACTTCCAGTCAATGTTAGCGACTTGGTCAAGGTCAAAGAACTGGTTACAGAGCTAGTCACTGTCAAGTTAGATACCAGAACACGTCTAAGGACCCCTCATCTAATTCTTTCTATTGACTCCCCTTTCACCTTTCTTAGAAAACAAAAATTAGTGGGACGCAATCACATAGTTTGTCTTTCATTTTAAATAACAGTATATACTTGAAGAAACATCTGTAGGATTTTAAAAGTCGGCATATGCTTTATATTATATCATCTTTTGCTATGTATGATATTTTTTCTTAATTAGAACTTCTCTCTAATGTAGAGAGAGGGTCCAGACAAAACTGCTTTATCCTTTGTGCCTCTCCATTCCCTTTTCAAAATTGTCCATCTCCAAATACCTAGCAACTTCATGCTGTTCATCTATAGCATCATTTAGATTTCTCAATACAGTTGTGTACCTTTTCCACTTAACCACTAAAATGAAATTGTTCTATGACCCATTCTTTCAAAGTTCTGCTCTAGCATTAGGCTTATCCCCTGTCTTTTATTCTAAAGTCAATATATAAATATCTTGGCCTACCCCACAGATATTGCCAATTTCCCTATTTCCCTCCAGTTTCCCTTATTTCCTTCCTAAATATTGAATGCCTATTAAACTTTAGGACCTAACGACTAGACAATGATCAGGCAACAGAGGTACAGTGGTCCCTGATTTCATCAGTCTCATTATGGGAAGACAAAAAAAATGGAAAATAAATGACTATATAATTTCAGAGAGTAAATATAATGACGAAAATTTTAAAAAGGTAAAGAGAAAGAGACTTGGCGAGGAGGAGGGAGACAATTTTAGATAGTCACGGACGGCCTCTTTGGGAAGTGACTTTCGAGTCAAAATCTAAATGATGTGAGCCCTGCTAGATATTCTAGCAGAAGAGTAGTCTAGACAAGGAAATGCAAGTGTGAACTTCTTAATTTTCTTTTTTAGCATTTCACTTTCTGGTGTATATTTGTCTGTATGTTGCTACTCTACCTATAAAAGAGACTGGGCTTTTCCTGGAGAAAGATTCGAAGTGTGAGGGGGAATTTGATGTAAGAGAGATTCTCCCTTGCTGGTTTTGAAGAAGGAAAGGACCACATGGCAACAAATGGGAATGGCTTCTAGGAGCTGAGAGTGACCTCCAGCTAACAGCCAACAAGAAAATAAGGACTTTGGCCTACAGCTACAAGGAACTAAATTTGGTCAACAAACTATATGAGCATGGAAGAAGCTCTAGATCAGAACATAGTCGATACTTTGTTTTCAACCTAGAGAGGCCCTGGGTAGAGAACTTGTGAGTATTATTTATTCACACATAGAGATGTAAAGAATTTTATAGGGCTTTACATATTTCATTTCTCTTAGCATATATAAGTAACTATATAAAATTGTAAATACATAAAATATGTATTATACATGTATTCACACATGTATATATATTTCCTTGAATAGAAGTAGAGGTCCTGCTGTGTCACTCTTTAGGAACAATGATGATATTATATTAATTTCATTTTTTCCCCAAGAGAAGGAAAAATGTTACATTGGCAATGTCCCAAAGCCTCTCAGCCTGAAGCCAGGTTCTTTTAGAAGACCAAAGGAAGAAATTTGGATTTTGTTTCTAGTGTGGTGGAGAGTCACTATGGATTAAGCAAAGTAGTGACATTTTAATTATATTTTTAAGAGAGCATTGTGATTGCTTCCTGGAGAATAGGAGAGCAAGAAAAATTTACTGAAATTTTTGTGGCTCTAATCAGGTTGAGAGAGGCAATGATGGATTATACTAGATTAATGGCAATGGAAATAGATGACAAATTTGTACAATATTTTGCAGATTGAATCAACTGGGCTTGTTGGATTAGATGTAAGACACTAGGGAGTGATATTAAGGATGAATCCTGAGTTTTGGCTTGAACAAACAGCACTTAGGGGATTATATAAGAGCATGATTTATTGGGAATCATTTTAGGGTGTACATGCTAACAAGTGGAAGAATTTCCATAGACTAGCTTCTGTACATTTTATACCCTACTTTCCCTCCACTACACACATTGTTCTGATGCTATATGTCTAGACATATCCATTTGAGGATATGACTAGGCCCTGTACTTTCCTAAGTCAGTTGGCGGGTGGAGAGCATGAGTAACAATATTTTATCTAGAACTATGCCTAGAACCTTACTATGATGGCTAGCAGTAACTTAACTATACATGTAAGTAACTACACAATATCCCTCTAGATTCAATATAAATATGTCTCTAATTCAACTTTCTTTTGCCTGGATTCCAAAGATCTCCATGGACATTCCAAAACCATCTCACCTGAAGTATAACAGAGGGGAAGTAAAAGTGGAAAGAGATAGTCTTAACTAATTGCAATTATACTACTTTATTCTTTTGAATTTTATAAAAACGTATGACCATGTGAAAACTTCTTTTCCAGTGCCTCAGGAGGGGGCTGAATAAGTGGAGGAGCTTTGAAGTTAATTTTCGTTAGTTTCGTAGGGAATCTGCTTCAGGTTACCACAATTTTAATTAGTTTATTGGACAATTATCCTCTGGATCTTAAGTGATAGCCAGAATTTTAAAAAGTTATGCAAACTTCTTACCCAATGGCCTAATTATACAGACACACATAAAAAAAGAACAAAAGGGACAAAGCCTTTTCCAAAAATGTCAATAATTGGGTGGAAGCTACCCTCTATGCATCGAATGAAGATTCCAACTACTAGAGTTTAAAATGTTTGAATTTAGATCATGAAAAACAATAAAATCTGTTTTTTTTCCCCCTAAGGCTACATTTATTGTGCAATTAATATGCTTTGTATTAAAATTATGTGCTGTTTTAAATTTTGTGGTATACATAGTCTAGATTTATTTTGAGAAATTAATTGGTGATTGTGGCAAGTTCTGCTGGCATCTGACCCCCCAAACTTTCCCCGTTTGCACGCGCATGTGCGCATACACACACATATACACACAAAATAACAAAAAAGAATTACAATTTTTTTTCAGTTATCGAGTAGCTAAATGTTTAGGGAAATTGAATGCTACCTCTACAAAATAAAGCATACCCTTAAGGTGTTTAGCATAATCCCTTTCTCCTCTGCTAGTTATTAATTTAGGGTTGGTCATGTGCTCAGAGTGATCATGTGTTCCAATTCTAGCCAATTGAGGAAGTACTGAAGTTCTGAGAGAGATGCACAATGAGAAGCCACCCTTTCCTTCTGCCTTTGACTTCCAGTTGAAGACAACTAACTTCTAATCATTGAAGGAAAGCTTAGTGGAAGCAAAAGCTCTGAATTAAACAACTCTACCTACTTACTTCTGGATTTCCTGTAACATGAAATGAAAAAATGCCACTTCTAGTCTGGCATTTCTATTACAGCAGAAAACATTTTAACAGAAACAGTGATGCATAAAATAAAAGTCATACAAACACCAACATGTGACATTTATTGTATTTTTTTCTCATTACAAAAGCAATATATGTTCATTAGAAATTTGGAATTACAGGAATTCACAAGAAAAATTTTTTTTAAATTATTCAGAGAGAACTATCAACACTTTTTTGCATAGTGTATTATTCCTATGCATGCACATTATATATTACATAACTTTTAAAATTAGACTACTTTAAACTTGATTTTTAAAAACTTAACCATAAGAATTAAATTGAACATTTAAATGAACCTTAATTAAAAATAAACTGAATCTTATTTCATTTAGTTTCTTATAGACAAGCTCAATGAGTTGGGTTTTGAAACTAGGCTAAAGGTAAAATAGATGAGTGACTACCAAATAAATTCTGAGACCTGGTCACTTTAAAGAAATTTCTAACTTACACTGATGTATGCTCCCTGAAAGATAATGTTTATGGTACTGTTACTGAAATAAAAGGAGTCAGTTTACCAGCTTGGAATCAGAAGAGATAAGGGCAGGTTTGCAGAGTTGCAAGTCCTGGAGACTCAGGCAAGCTAATGCTCTCAACAACCTGGATCCCAGGTGTCTTGGGAATACAAATTACATAGGGAAAAATTAGTAGTCATGGAAACTAAGGGAGTTGGGGTAATTCATCATTGTGTTCAATTCTGGAATCAGTTTGGAGCCATCCCCTCAGGTCTCATGGCTTGTGGGGTTGTTCTGCCTCAGTGGGCCTGGAGCTGAAACACATCTAAGGCTGTCATCCTTAGTGTAACCAGAAACTTATTGTCCCCAAGATTACAGACTTGAGGCTCAATAAATCTCATGTCCTAAGGCTTAATGATTAAAGAAGGAAGCATACAAAGGTAGGGAGTAGAAAAAGCAAGTAAGTCACAATGCTATTATCTGGCCCAAACCAACTTGAATCAGAAAAAAAAGAAAGTTTGTGTGGGTTGCAGTACTCTACCACAGTGTGTTTGTTAAGGCTATTATATGTTTCTTAGGCTGAAACTGTATTAAGACAATCTTTGTTCAATTCATTGCCATTGGTCCATTTAATTTATTTATTTGTTTGAGTCGCAGGAAGAAATCTGATTTTAAAACAGTTTTATATGCTAAATGAAGAGATAACAAAAATAGAATGTTAATTTTCTGATATATTAGAATTCACTCTGCAGAATATATTCTTTTTTACGAGGAATCCTCATCTTTAATTATGATTAGAAATAGAGTAAATGACTGTCATATCAAATATTACTCTATGTTGAGTGGTATATCTGTTATTGCTGGGATGATGTGAAATCCACGTAGCCCCAGCGGGATAGGGAAGGAGGACAGTGGTGGTGTGTGTTGTCCCTCAGTTCTTCCCCACCAACACAGCAAAGAATTACAAGTTGGGAAGATTTTGAAAGTGAGATTTATTGAAAGTACATTTTAGAAGGAGATAGGCCATGCCAGGGAAGGCTGCAGCCCTGTGGAATTTGGGAGGCAAAGAGATAACAGTATGCCCCAAGGGTAGGAGCGGGTTTTCAACAAAGAGAGCTATAATCACAGAGAAATGAAAAGGTATTTATATTTGGGCTGTGATGGGAGGTCTTAAATGATCCGTGTATGAGGTTACCTTGACTGACAGTTAGCTGCTATATAACCCTTTGCCTACCACACATGCTCTTACCAGAATTGTCTTTTATAATTAGAGTCATGGACTTCCGGGCACAAACATAGTATTCAATGACAGTATAATGAACATTAGATTGTGAGCAGATTAGAGCAGTACTTTCCGTACAGGCTTCTGTGGCCAGCAGCTTTTATGGTTTTTGTGCTCTAGGGTTTGGGGTAATTTATAACCCTAAAAAGAAGGTGTTTCTGGGAGGTCCTTAAGGAAGGTCTTCAAAGGAGATTTCTATGGTTACAGAGCTCGATCGTCACTCCTGTCACTCATGCCTGACATCCCTAACATATCTTTAATTTAAAAGCCATATTTCCCATTTGGGTCATAAATTTTAGTTTATATCCATATCCATATTATAAATTATGGACCATAATATTCATATAACAGTTATTTCTGCAAAGTTTTTTGTTACATATTGAGCCTTAAGAGATTTTCCTAAGTTTCAAATGGTGAGTAATCAAATTGAAACAATAATTTCAATATTAACATTATTATGCATGTATATAAACAAACGAATGCATTCTGATACATTTTTATTGTAATAAACTTCCTTATAAGTATATAGAAATCAGGAATTCCTAACTTTTTTTGTGTGTGATATGGGAATCCTTTGGCAGTCTGATTTGGTCTACAAACTCCTCTCAGGATAATGTTTTTAAATGCAAAAAATAATACAAATAGGAATGAAAGAAAAGCAGTTGCATCGAAATATAGTAATGTGCATGGACCATAGGTAAAAGACCCCTGCATCAAGATTTTGAATAGCCCTTTACTTAATGTATCAAAAAATGCCTGAGAACATATCTAAGTAAATCAGTTTTTTGAACAAAAAAGCCAAATTGACATATGTTTATTAAACATATTTTAATAAAGCCCTTAGACTGTATCTTGTATATGATTTTTTTGCCTTTAAATTCGGAAGTGAGAATTGTTATCAGTTTAGGAATAAGCATATGATAAAGAGACTTGGAGAAGATTGGTTTTGTTGTGACTTATCTATATTTCTGTGTCATCTAGCAGAACTATACAATCTTGGTAGCGATATATATGTCTTTAAAGTTAATTTTGAGCATTTTAGTACATTCAAATTATAAGCCTTGCCCAATTCAACCATAGAGTTGGAGCATGGATTGGTTAATTAAAGGTATGTGTTTAGTAAAAAAGAAGATATAACAGAGTAGAAGGAAGGAGCTAAATGGTGATAGAAATAGGATGAATGGAGACAGAATTGGAAAATAAGTAGGATGTAGGAAAAAAACACCACACACACTACAACTCTGAAAAACTGAAGTATAAGAGAAAAATAAGGAAAGATCTACCATTAGTCTAACTAACAATGTACTTTCCACAATTCCACATGCCCTGGAATATTTGGAAATTACAGTCCATCTTTTGTGTGGCAATGCATAGCTCAGATGAATATAATGGTATTTTACTTAATTTTTTTTTAAAAAAGAAGTTAAAAAATGGTTGAATTTCTTTTAAGTCTTGTATGATTTTTTCACTTAATGAATATTTTAGTCCCATTATTTTCATTCTGTCCCCTTTTTCATGGAATGGGTAAAAACAGGCCTGAATTAAAAGCAGTATTGTGTTGACTTATTTTGGAAACCATACCACTTAATGTGAATATCAGTAGATATTACATATTTACAGGGTTTTTTTTTTTTTGCTTTTTACAATACTCTATTGTCTTTTTGATCTGTATATATTAAAACTCATTTTCAGAATTTCTTTTACATATCTAATATCTATCTTTTTGCTTGATTTCTTATTTACTTTTTCAGGGCTTTATGGTTTATGAATTTCGTAAGATCAGAAGATAGAGAAAAACCTCTCATATTAAAACAGAGGGTATATTATGTATAAAACAATCAGTATAGGTCTTTCCTTGATTGTATTTTAGAACAATGTTATTATTACTATACCTAATAACCACAAATTCCATAGACTGTACAACCTAGAGAAATGTTCTAACTACTTTCCAAATCTGAACCCCTCTAAAATTTCCCTTTATATAGAAGCACTTTACAACCTGTACCATATAAAAATGGGATGAAGAACTACTTATAAGTCTTGTCAGGTTGATGGAAAAGATGGTGAGTGATTGCTAAATACCTCCCACACATTAAAATGCTTTTGAGGCCAAAGAAAAAATTAGATTCATTGCATTTTTTTTTTTTTTTTTTACCAGAGGAGGTAACACTGATTTTATGGGCAGGGGAAATATTGTTTTTATGCTCTATGTACTATAGTGGTATAAGATTGTAATTGCTGCTAAGCCCTTTTGGAGAAAAAAAGAAAAGCCCTCAAGGTTAGCTGAGATTGAGTCTGTTGTGGTTTCTCATCCTTGCTTTTTGGCATCTCTTTGCCTTAGGCCATGGCTGTTTTAGATACTTATACATTTTTATTAAAGAAGAAGGTGATAAGAAACTTCTATAATGTGTTACAGGAGCTCAGGGCAGAGAGATCCTGATTCAAGAGTTTGTGATTAAGGGGAAATAATTCACTATTTTTCTTGAGTTTTTTTCCTTGTAATTGAGTCTCTGTCCATGTGATTAAAAAAAGAATAAGAATAATAACATAACCTTAACCTTTTGTTTATAAGTAAATACACTGTGACTTTTGTGTTTACTATTCTGAAATGGGGAAATTCATTACCTTGCTCTTCTTTGCAAGACTTTCTATGTAGTCTAAAAATTACAGAGAGAAATAGCCGTATATAAGTGGATCGAAGCATGGATTTAAGAAAGCAAAGAGAAAAAAGAAGTGATTTACTGGATCTGAAACCCTGTTTAACATTTCAGGATCAAACCAATACCAAATCCCTAGTACATAGTAGGGAGTCCAGCAGACAGTAAATGAAGTGGCAAATGCAACCGTCATCCTTAGGGTCCTCAGCCGAGCTCTTGGTATATTGTTCTTGGATTGATTCAGTTGTAGTTCTATTGGTAAGAGAAAAGAGTAGATGTTTAAAGACCGGTTTTATTACATAACCAAAATGAACAAAAAAAGGAAGAGAGAATCACTAATTTAACTTAAGGAAAATAATGGAAGCAAATTTCCAATGTTTCTAATAATGATAATTTTTTTTTTGAAAACAATGATCGTATTTCAAGTTTTCCACTGTGTCACATAATAGAAAATATTAAAGATAAAAGGATAGTGCTCTTAAAAATTAAGTTTCCACCAAACTAATCTAAAATATGGGGGTTCTCAAATTCTTGAAATATAAATTTAAAAGAGTAGACTGAGGTTGAGCTGAGTTGAATTCTCTGCATCTTGGTTGTCATGCCAACATAACCATGTTTATAAATTTTTAAATTTTAGTTTTTGAGAATGCACCAGGTTACTGAAGCAAAAAGAAAAAGGCGCAACCACATTTGTGAAATTTCAGATGAAATAGTCAATTACATAATAATATTTTGCACATCCAACACAGACACACACACACAAATGTGTATAGTTGTGTTGTGTGGATGTAGGAGATTTGATGTGAAACAGAACAGCTTAACTTTAGCAAGTATATTGGCTATCATTTAATGAGTTGTACTTTACTATATTCTAGAAATCGGGTGTTTGATTATTGCTGTGATGGCCCAGCAAGAACAATTTCCCAATGCTTATACTGGATAAAAGGGGTGATTGTCATTTCATCTTTAATTCTATGGTGCAAATTTAGAACATGAGGAGACATAAAATTACATCTGTAAATTGGAGATGATCATACTACTACCGCCTGGGGTGATAGAGTGAATGTGAAATGAATAAATATATATAAACTGCTTAGAACAGTAACAGGCACATAGTAAGTGCCTCTCTGCTTTGAGTATTGCTGTTTTAAAACTGGTTACCCACAATTAACACCAAATCTAAGGAATACATACGGTGGGGATCCTGATGAAGGACTTGCGTCAGTGCGAAGATGATTTTTGCATTGCAGATCAACATGATAAGAAGAGGGATGGTGAAGAGGCAGCTAAAGGTGAAAAAGTTATAAAAGGCTTGATGCCACCATTGTGGAAAACTGCAGTGTGTTACACATTGAGAGAAACCTCCTGTCTGTCCAGAATCATCTGCTAAATGAATCATTCTGAAGATATATAACTGTATAAAAAAATTAAAAAATTAAAAGTCATGTTACTTTTTTTCAAACAGTATCTGCATGTTTTCTTGAAAGTATTCTGTATTCTGTTGACCATCTAATGTGATGTTGCCCAAAGCAATTGCTGAGTTCCTCGATATTATCCTTTTGGCATTTCTACAAAAAGTTATAAGTGCATCTTTACATAAAATAAGTTTGGAGAATGAGAATGGATCTAGAAGATTGTGAAGTTTTGGGAATCATTTCAACCTTGCAGAGCAACCCTCAAACAAGGATTTAAACCTTGTATATGTTCTAATTTCAGGTTCAATTCTGCTGAATAAACATATTGCAGATAGTTTTGTTCACCATTCTATCTGCACTACCTAAAACTGTGTCTAGCATTTTGAATGTGCCCCCAAAATACACATTTAAATTTCATTTTTGAGACAGAAACCCTCAGTAAAGTTGTCAAAAGACATGAACAGACAGTTCAAAAAAAAAAAAAAAGATATGACGTGGCCCTTATGAAGAGATGTTCACCCCCATTCATGAAAAGAGAAATGCCAATTAAGGGTACATTGAAATGCCATTCCTCACTATCAAGATTGGCAAAACTTAAAAAGAAGAGCAACACACTCTCATGGCAAGGCCATGGGGAAACAAGAACTCTCATACATTGCTAGTGAGAATGCAAATTGGTACAACCATTATTGAGGGATATTTGGCAGTAACTATCATAACTACATACGCATCTACCTTTGATCCAGGAATTTACTCTGAGGACACCTCGCTGCCTCTGTTATATGAAAATACACATGCACAAGGTTATTCATTGATGCATTGTTTGTAATTGAAAATCATTTAAAACAATCCAAGTACCAATTCACAGAACAGTAACTTAATAAACTTGTGGACCAAATAATGGAGCACTATATGTCTCTAAAAAAAAAGTAAGGAAAATTTCTAAATATATGGATATGTATAATATATGTGTGCATGTGCATGCATACATATATTTATTTTCCAGTTCTGTCTGTTGAGAGACCTTAGGAACAATGATACTTTAATGCCCAGATCTTGGTTTCTAACTGCCATTTGTTACTGAAGGAACCAGAGCTCATTAGAGAAGTGGATGATGCCAAGGCCGGGCAAGCAAAATACAATACGTGCTTAGAACACCTTGTGCCAAAAAGTCAAGAAGTGCTCAGAGAATGATGGAGCATGTCAAAAGAGCTCAGGAGCCACCTTGAAAGCACTCTCATTGGCAAAATCCAGAAGAGTTTAAGGATGAAAATAAACTTAAAAACATAAAAAATGATAAACTATTGAATAAAGTAAGAATCCATGATTTCATGCTGATATAAATTACAAAACAATAACAAAACAAATGGAGAGGGGGGAAAGCTCTTTGTTACTGTAGGAAGCCAACTAATAAATGTAAAGGGAATAATGGAAATAGTTGTATAACTGCAATAATAAGTGATTCAGGTACGAATCATCAATGGATTATAAAAAATATTGGTGATAGCTTGTGGAGAACAGTGATTTACATTATCTTAAAACATCTACCTGCAGTATATTCATTATATATTCATTATAAAGAGTAAAATAACTTTACAATAGGGAAATAGCCAAATAATTAAAGTTGATAGTGCCGATAATGGGTCCAATTGATAGCTTCTGCTTCCTTATGTAATATATTGAGAACTCAGCATCACTTCTTTTGTATTTCTGCTAAAGTTATATAACCTGAATCCAACCATGAAAAAACTCCAAACTCAAATTGAGTGGCGTTCTACATAATTGGCCTACACCCTTAAAATGTCAATGCCATGAAACAAAAAAAGACTGAGGGAAGGTTGTAATTTAAAGGAGACAAAGAAACAGCAAACTGAGTTCACCACATACTCTTGGATTTTCTTTTGTTAAAAGGGACATTATTGGGGCAATTGGATAAGGCATATAGATTAAATAATAGAATCGTATCCGTACTAATTTTCTGATTCTGATACTTGTACTGTGGTTATGTGCGAAGTATTGAGGTGCTGACAGGGACATCATGACTAAACTTTTAAACAATTTCTGTTTTTTTAAATTGTTTCTGTTTTTTATGAGAGAGATTAAAGCAAATAAGCAAATGTAATAAAATATTAATATTTGGGGAATCTGAGGGAAGTGTATTCCAGAAATCTTTGTATCATATCATTCTTGTAAACTTTCTCTTAGATATGAAATTATGTTTTTTTAAAAAAGCACAAATCAAATCAAGGAAATTTTGCAAGTAGTTTTCAAAAACAAGTTCCAGTGAATGTTTATTCTTTCTCCATTCATCAAACATTCCTTACCTAGTTATTTCCAAACTTTTCCATTGAGAAACTTCATTTTACTATGGAACATTATTAAAATGAAAAGATAAGAATGTCCACGCATTTTAAAACTGATAGCAAGTGAATTTGAACAAAAATATTATAGAATTTCTTTCTTCTCCCTGTATACTTTTATTTCTTCTTTTTTAAAAATTGAGGTATAATTGACATATAACACTATATTAGTTTCGGGTGTACAACACAATGATTCAAAAAAAATATACAAAATGATATATGTATACAAAAATATATATATTGGGAAATGATCACCACAATAAGTCTAGATAATATCTGTCACCATATATAGTTACAAATTTTCTTTTTCTTGTGAGAACTCTCGGCAACTTTCTTAGCAATGTTTTAAATACAGAATAGTCTCCATGCTATATATTACATCCCCATGATATTTATAACTGGAAGTTTATATGGTTTGATTCCCTTCACCCGTTCTCTCCCCACCCCTCACCATCTCTGGCAACCACCAATCTGTTCTTTGTATCTATGAGCTTGCTTCCTTCCTTCCTTCCTTCCTTCCTTCCGTCCTGTCTGTCTGTCTTTTTCTGTTTTTTTAAAAATATTTTACATATAAGTGATATCATACAATATTTGGTTTTCTCTGTATGACTTGTTTTACTTCGCATAATGTCCTCATGGTCCATCCATGGTGTTGCAAATGGCAAGATTTCCTTCTTTTTTTATGACTGAATAATATTCATATGTGTGTGTGTTCATATTTCACATTTTCTTTATCCATCCATCCATCAGTGGACACTTAGGTTTTTTCCATGCCTTGGCTAATGTAAATAATACTGCAGTAAACATGGGGATGCTGATATCTTTCCAAGACAGTGATTTTGTTTCCTTTGCATAAATATTCTGAAGCTGACTTGCAGGATCATAAGGTACTTCTATTTTTAACTTCTTCGAGAATCTTCATACTATTTTCTATAGTGGTTGTGCCAATTTACATTCCTACTAACAGTGCACTAGGGTTTCCTTTTTCCCACATCCTCACCAACACTTGTTATTTCATATCTTTTTGTTAATAGCCATCTAACACTTGTGAGGTCATATCTCATTGTGGCTTTCATTTGCATTTATTTGATCATTAGTGATGTCGATCACCTTTTCATATACCTGTTGATCATTTGTCCTCTTTGGAAAAATGTCTATTTAGATCCTCTGCCCATGTCTTAATTGAATTTTATTTTTTATTTTTATTTTTTTGCTATTGAGTTGAAGAGTTTTTATATACTGGCATGTGCCACTTAACAATGGGGATCTGGCCTGAGAAATGCATTGTTTTGTCATTGTGCGCACATCATAGAGTCTATTTACACAAACCTGGATAGTATAGCTTATTGCTCTGGAGGGGAGGAAGAATAATTTTCCCTCTATCCTTCTGGCTTCTTAGCTGAGACCCTAAGTAATGAACAACAGATTAAGAGGAAGACAAACAAAAGTTTAATAACATGTATACTTCATGTCTGTGTGGCAGACACCCATGAAAACAGAATAACTTGCCAAAATGGCAGAAGCCACCACCTTAAATGCCATCTTCAGCTGAAGAGGAAAGAAGGTATTGGGGGTGGGGAGAGGCACTTTTAGAAAGTAACCAGGAAAAGCACAGTGGACAAGGGTAAGATTGTTATATAGAGTTAATGTCTATTACACTGATAAGAATTTCTATAGACAAGGTCATCACCTCTACACAGAGGGAGACATCCTTACAAATGGAGATTTTTCTTACAAATGTAAATGTTTTTTATGAAGGGTAACTTCTACTTTTTTTTTTCAGAGCTTCTCCCATATCTTCTGTTTTTCAAAGTTAATCAGCCTAAAATAATCCTTATGCCAAAATGATATATTTTGGAGGAAAATTAAGCTCCTCGGCTACAAACCTATACAGCATGTTACTGAGGCAGGACAGGTAGTGCAGGGAACCCCTACCTCCCGCCCCCCCTACACACACCCAAGATTTGACTCTGGAAATTTTTCCTTTTTTCAGAACTCCCCTTGTTTTAGCCTCAGCAGGGGTGATAAACCAAAACTGATTTTTCCAGTCTAAATGCTATCTTTGGTTAGGGCATGATCTTTGACTAATTATAATATCGTTATAATCTCATCTGCATTGCAAATACTGCAGGTCCCATCCTGTACCTAATGCTATGACAGTTCTGGAAACACCATATGGGTAAGAAAAAGAGGGAAACTGAGCGCTCTGGGAAGAGACAACAAGGCTATGTTTCTGTTTCTCTCTCTCTCTCTCTCCCTCTGTCTCTCTCTCTCTCTCTCTCTCTCTCTCTCTCTCTCTAACCCTTCCTCTCTTCCTCTCTCTCTCATAAGCCCACACTCCTCCATCTCGAGTATGTACTTTCTCTTTAATAAACTTTATGCTTTCCTTCTTGCTGTTTGTCTTGCCTTTGAATTCTATCTCACGGAATACGACAAGAACCCAGTAACCAGAGCCCCTAGATTTATGGCTCTATTACTGTACTGAATATTATAGGAAATTGAAATTGTAACACAATGGTATTTGTGTAATGTGCTGAGCTAGGAGAGCTACAACACTTACTAGGCAATAGGAATTTTTCAGCTCCATTATAACCTTTCAGGACTATTGTTATATATGTGGTGGAGGGAGAATGAATGTA